TTCTTGCTCCAGTATTGTATGCAAACTTCAGATTCCAGGAGCGTAAGCCACCTGCCACGAAAGTCCATGAGTTCCTAGGCCAGGAGAAGGAGAAAATTCCTCTTGCTCCATTCTTGCTCCAGTATTGTATGCAAACTTCAGATTCCAGGAGCGTAAGCCACCTGCCACGAACGTCCATGAGTTCCTAGGCCAGGAGAAGGAGAAAATTCCTCTTGCTCCTTACTATTTTCAACCCTTCTCGCCTCATTTCTATTTCGGAAACCCCGGAGACTTCAGAATTCATGCCACCCAGCTGTACCAGCCATCCTCCCTTCTCAACCCCATCTCCGTCATCCACAGGAGTAATTGTGATCCTTGGCTGCCTTAGAATTATCAGGAGAGCTTTTTAAAAAATTCTGAGGCCCAGGCCCCACCCTGGATCCCTTAAATCAAACCCTGAGGGTAAGGCCCTGCCATGAGTAATTTATAAAGCTCCTCAGATGATTTTAAATTTCAGCCGTGGTTCAGAACTGATTAAAGCCCTCCTACTCACTCCCCCTTAGCCACTGAATAGGCTACAGCTTCTTTCTCACTCATCTTCACCCCAACTTCCGACATTTCCAAGACTTCAACATCCTCATAGATAACCCATACAAAATCTTTTCCTCTCAGTCTTAACATTCTTACCTCCAGCAATCTTTGATGTGCTCTACCTTAGCTACCCAATTTTATGGCTATACCAAAACCTTATACATAGCAGTAAGTATACTGGCTCTAGAATCTCACTTTAAAGCACCTCACTCAAATTCCTCCAGTTCGTCTTTACTCCACCCCCTACCCTCGCTAACAATTCTAGCATAAATAACAATCTGTGGACCTCACCTGTGGACCTCTTACTCAGCTGGTTAAACCCCAAGCTTGGTTGAACCTAAGTTCTACCCTTTCCACACCTGCACCAGAAGCACTGAAGTGTGATGTTACTAGAATGCAGCTGCAGCCAAGTGTGCCACTAGCACCAGCAAGTCTCAGGGCCCCGCATCTCAAGATGAGCTCTCAACACCATCAGACAATCCTATAATACAACTACATGTCCCTGATGGTTAGTTTCCCCACACCTGAGATAATTATTTCATACATTGCTCTCCCTCCTCAGCTTCCTACCCATCTCAGCTGATGACTTTGCTTCGTAATTCATTGAGTAAAAAAAAACAAGCCAGTCTTGTCTTTACCACCAAATCTATAAAACCATCTTTACCTAACTAGCTCTATCTTCTAGGTGTTCCTTTCCACAATAAAAGGAGTATCACTGCTCCTGTTAAGGGCTAATTACAGTAATCACTTGTGCTCTGGACCCCATCTCTCTCCCTCCTTCTCAAGGGCTTTGTTCCTGTGGGCATTCCCTCTCTCAGCTGTGCTCTCAGATTCTGAGTGATCCCTGTCAATATGCCAACATACTCAGTGCCTCCCTTTCCCCTAAATGCCCTTCTAATTATTACTAGTTTCTCTGCTTTCTACCAGCAAAGCTTCTAGAAAGTGCTGTTTTTGGGCGGCTGGACAGTATGGGGATCTGAACCCTTGACTTTGATGTTATCAGCACCACACTGTAACCAAACTAACCAGCCAGCCCTAGGAAGTATCACTTCTATTCAGTCTTGACTTTAACCTTAGCTTCCATCCCTACTTCTCATTGGAACTTCTCTTTAAGATCAGTCACCTACATGTTGCCAGGCCCAACTGCCATGACCGTTTTCTTCTTTCTCTATCTCTCCATAAAATTTTACTCGAACAACCACTCCCTCCTCCTTGAAATACCACTTTATTCTCACTTTCATGATGCCATGCTCTTCTTATCCCTCTTGACCTCTTTTATCTAACCTCTAAGTTCTTGCTTCTCAAAGTGTAGTCTGGGGAACCAGTGGCATTGGTAGCATCTGGGAGATTGTTAGATTTGCAAAGTCTCAGACCCCCAGACCTACTGAATCAGAATCTTCACCTAACAAGCTCACCGGATGACTCCTGGGACCCTGTGCCATATTCTCCTCCTAGGTTATCCCATCCACACCCATGGCTCTAAATGTTTGGTTTTGTTTGTTTTAATCCCCAAGTCTTCTCTAGCCCTGACTTCTCTCCTAAAGTCCAGATTCATATACCTTAATAGCCTACATGACATCTCCATTTGGATGTCTCAGATATTTCAGATTTAGTGCATTCAAAACAGAAACCATCCCACATCTCACTGAATCGCCCCACCAAAACAGGACAGCTAAATTAATTCAGCCCTTATAAAGTGACAGGTACTATTTTAAGTGTTCAACAATCATCAGTTCATTTAGTCCTCACACCATCACCAGGAGATAGAAACTATCATCATCTGCATTTTATAGATGGAAAAACAGACAGGGAAAGTAACTTGCCCACAATTATGCATCGCCTAAGTACTGCACCTAGGATGTGAAGTTAGGGAATCTGGCTCCGGAACATGCTTCCTAACATACTTCCTAATACCACTCACCCCATAGCTCAAAGCAGAAATCTAGGAGTCATCGTTCATTTCCTCCATCACCCGCTGCCAGTCCTGTACATTTCCAAGCATTATCTTGAGTCCATGGACTTCTCCACCTCCACGGCCACCGCCCTTGTCCAAGCCATCATTTTGTTCATATATTCATTAACCAACTAACTGGTCTCCCTCCTGCCACTCTACCTAGTCTTCCCTCACAGCAGGAAGTGTGCTTTTTAAGTAACTATCTGATGTCACTGCCCTGTTGAGACCCCTTCATGGACTACCATATACTTGACCATGGCCTTAAGAACACTTTGGCCCCAAGCCCTGTCTTCTTCAGCCCCACACTATCCTCAGGGGCTCCTATTCCTGGAACATGCCAAGTGCATGCCCCACCCCTAAGGGCCTTTGCTCTTGCTGTTCCCTTCGATCAAAACCATCTTCCCCGAACTCCCCTCATCCTGCAGGTCTCACTTCTCATGTTGCCTCTTCCCAGCCATCCCGTCTAGAAGGGTTACTCTGAGCACCCTTCCTGGCACTCATCACAACCTGAATTTGAGAGGAAATATAAATATAATTTGCGAGGAAATATAATAGACATGGAGCAAGTCCTAGTCTACCTGGGTTCAAATCCTGGATCTACCCTATAACCTCTGAGTCTCCATCTCATCTACAAAAGGGGTGTAACAGATCCCACGTAACATGGCTGCTGAGATGAGCTACAGCAATGCCTGGCACATGCTAAGTGCTGTCTCAGCATTCACTGTTAAGTATGTATACTTGACAGCAAGGACCTTCCCTCTTGACTGTCTCTATATTCCCAGTCCTCAGAGAGCATAGCTTACAAAAGTTTATTAATGACTTTTTCCTCTTCATTGTTCCCTTCACATAAGGGACAGTATCTAATGTTTCTCAGTGCTATATTGATTTTTCACCCCAAGACCACCAGTTAGTGTGCCTCCAAGGTCTAGTTCATATGCATTTATTTTATTCCATTCACATTGTACCACTGTCATACAACCTACAAAAAGTACAAAAGCCTAGTCCATTTTCCAATGCTGGGTCAGAGCCAAGTTACAAAAAAGGAAGACAGCACAATAAATTACAAGAAGAGCTCAGGTGTCCTGCACAGGCCACTGCCTGTCACATGATGTATTTAAAGCTGTAAATATTACCACAGGAGAATCTCTTGTCTTTGCAGCGACCACACAGTTCCTGTCGATGAGGCCTCCTGAGATCAATGTGTCTTTTCTTTTGAGGACAGGAACAACAAAACTTTGAACAGGTCTTTAGAAAACAAAAAAGTTTGGACACTGAATGATCAAATTAGTTTCCAATGTAATATTCAAATCCAAATATTTCTCCCTACTACCCCTAATATCTTTATCTTCGAGTCCTATGAGAAGCTCAAGACCAAGTTGTACAAAACCACCTGTACCCCATTAAATGCCATACATTTCTCCCCCAAGATGACTGGCTCAGCAATATTCTCCTAAACATCTTCTGTGATCAGTCAAGACAATATAATAAAAATTCCACGAGTTAGAGAGTTCTGTAGAGTGTCTTCACTGCATAGGATTTTACATAAGCCAGGAGGGGGTGAGGGGCAGTTGGTGGGAATTAAATGATTTGATTATCTAAATGGGAACATTTTAAAAGTACTAAAGCAGTGGTTCTCAACAGGGGTGATTTTATCCCCCAAGGGACATTTGGCAAAGTCTGGAGATATTTTAGGTTGTGACAACTTGGGAGAGAGAGGTATTCTAGAGAATGTTAAACTTCCTTTTCTTGCCAGACATGCCTAATCTTTACTAGGACTTAACATAGTGCCTTTGAACCATTACCCCATTTTGTCTTCCAACACCTAAAAAACTACACCCTATGGAGACTGGTATACTGCCCTGGTTCACCCTTCCAAACCTACCAATCTTTGACACTGATAATCATTGCTCTATTTTCTACATATGTCCCATAGCCATCCAAAATAAGTCAAGATTTACTTTTTTATATTGTCAAAGCAGGAATTTTCCAAATAGGAGTCCTAAATATGATTTACCAAACATACTATACACTTTTGTGTACTATATCCATATCCTCCACGCTCCCATTGAGGCGTATGCCTCCTTATAAGAAAATTCTATGGTGGGACTGTAAATTAGTACAGCCATTATGGAAAACAGTATGGAGGTTTGTCAAACAGATAGAGCTGCCATACAATCCAGCAATCCCAATGCTGGATATATACCCAAAGGAATGGAAATCATCACGTCAAAGAGATACCTGCACTCCCATGTTTATCACAGCTCTTCACAATAGCCAAGGCATGGAACCAACCTAAATGTCCATCAGTGGATAATTGGATAAAAGAAATGTGGTATATATACAAAATGGAACACTACTGAGCATAAAAAAGTATGAAGTTCTGCCATACAATGCAACATGGATGAGCTTGGAGAAAATTATGTTAAGTGACATAAGCCAAGCACAGAAAGAGAAATACATGTTATTACTCATAGTGAGAGATGGAGGGACAGAGAAGAAAAGGAGGAGGGAGGGGGACAGGGGAAGAATGAGCTGGTGGTGGGACATGGTGGGGGAGAGAGGGAGGGAGATGGGGGAGGGAGAGATGTGGAGTGAGGGAGGGAGAGGGACGAGGGAGGGAGTTGGGGAGAGAGTGTTGGGGAGAGAGAGAGTCGGGGAGAGAGGGAGACGGGGGAGGGAGGGAGAGAGACGGG